AGCCCCAGTGGTTCAGTCCTACCTGACAAAGCTGATAGCAAACTCTAAAGAATGAGCCATTCCCAAGAATTTTTAGGATTTTCTACATTTAATATGATAGCATCTGTGAACACAGATTATTTTGCTTTTTTCTGATTTAGATGCCGTTTATTCCTTTCACTGTCTATCTGCTTTCCCGGAGTTTCCAGTCCTATGGAGAATGGAGGTGGCACAAGTGGGCATCCTTATCTTGTTTCTGATCTTAGAGGAAGAGCTTTCAGTCTTTCAAAATTGAGTGTGATGTTTGCTGTAGGTTATTCATACATATTCATCTATATATTCATATATACTTATATATATGCTGTTTTCTTCCATTTCTAGTTTGTTGAGTATTTTTATCATGAAAGTGTGTTGAATTTTGTCAAATGTGGAGGGTTTTTTTGCATCAGTTGAGACAGTCATATATTTTCCTCCTCATTCTATCAATGTTGTATATTACACTGATCAACTATCATATGTAGAACCATCCTTGCATTTCAGCAATAGATCTCTCTTGGCCAAGGTTTATATCTCTTAATTTGCTGCTGAATTTGATTTGTTAGTAATAGTTGTGGGATTTTACATCAATGTTCATAAGGAATGTTGACCTGTAGCTTTCTTTTCTTGTAGTGTCTTTGTCTGGCTCTGGTATCAGAGTAATACTGGCCTCAGAGAATGAGTTAGGGCAGTGGTCGGCAAACTGCGGCTCACAAAAAATCCTTAACTTGATATAAGGCATCTATGAAACTCTCACAGCCAACACCACACTCCATTGTAAAGACAACACTTTTCCCTGAGACTAGGAACAAGACACAGATGTCCCCTTCCACCACACTATTCAGCCTCATACTGAGGGTCTGAGCCAGCACAAGACAAGAGAAAAAAGTAAAAGCCAGGCATATTGGAAATGCAGAAATGAAGTGGTCTCTATTCACAGAGGACATGATTGTCCACAAGACACCCCCAGGAATCTGCAAAAGGTTTCCTGGAAATATAAGAGTTTGACAAGGTTGAATAATGCAAACTTAAAATAGTAAAAATTTATTGTGGTTCTATACAGAGTTGGGCAAAAGTAGATTTACAGTTATGAGTGAACAAAACAGAGCTTATTCATATGTTATTGTTTGTTTTTTAATAATTGTAATATTGATTTGTATTCTTTGCCTCATTATTATTGTTATTATTTTGTATCCTTACCTATGATTTATATTTTAGCTAATGATGGCTGGTAATTTAATATACTTTTGCCCACCTCCATATAATATTAATAAACAATTGGATTTCAAACTTTTTGTTTAAAAGTAGGACTTACAACAAAATAAAAAATGAAAACCAGTTTAAATCTAACATATTGAAAACTATCAAAACACTGATGAAATGAACTGAAGAAGACATGAATAAATGGAAAATTAGACCATGTTCACAGGTAGAGATATTGTGATGTCAGTTACTTTCACAGTGATCTGTAGATTCAAGGCAATCCCAATAAAAATTTCAGCAGGATGTTTTTTGTTATCAATAAGCTGAATGTAAAAGTATTTGGAGGGCAAAGGAGCTCAAATAGCCAAAGCTATTGTCATTCTTGCTGTTTGAGACCCTCGTCCGTCTACCTTCCCCTTTAGTGAGTTCCTCTGTGGCTGGTGCCCCCTCCTCAGCCGCCTGTGTGTGGGGATGTCCAGCAGCGATGAGCAGCAG